TTTTTTTTTTTTGGTTGTTTCCCTTTTTGATTTGGTGGGGGGGGGGGGTATAACCCCCCCCCCCCCCCCCACTTTTTTGGGAAATACCAGGAAAAATAATGACCCCATGCAAGTGTTATGAAAATGGTTCCCCGGGCCTTAGAGTAGAGAATCCCTTTTTGACTCCGGCTCCGTTCATCACCATTGACTGTCCAGCTTTCAGATCTGTACTTAACAGGGTTTATTTATTTATTTATTGAGGCATTTTTATATAGCGCTTACCTTAAAGCTCTAAGCGCTTTACAATGATTAAAAAAATGTAAACTAAGTAAAATAAAAATGAGACACTAGGATAGTAACTACTCTACTATAGAAACAATGAAAATGGCTATAAAACGAGGACACTTTGGCACGTTTAGGCCTACACTACAGGATCAACCCGAGACAGAAAATGAGGGTAACAGGATTGTGTATGGGGACAAGATCGAATGAAGAAAACATCAACCGGTCTTTGTAAAAAAAGTATACAACTGTTAGTTACAAGGTTTACTTTGCATTTCCAAATACTTTCAAATCCAGCATGAAATATATGAACTATGAAATTGTCAGTGACATAATATGAAAAACAAAAATCGAAATAAAATATTTTTGACACATTAATTTCTTTTTTAAAGGCTAATTAATCTTTTATAAATGGTTGACATATTTATCGTTTCTCTTAAACTTTGATTCGTATCTTTTAAGAAGTGAAGTTATACCACAATCTTTGAAATTATTATTTTAAAAAATCAGATTACATTTTAAAAAAAAAATTGTAGCAACATGATTTTATTATGAAATCAATACAAGACTTGGCAGGAATGAAATGCATCTTTATTGTACTTTCAAAAAACAAATATTGTTAACAAATAAATGCGAAAAATGAGAAAAAGCGATGTAATCAGGGCTTAGTAATCATTTAGCTATCTGAATAATCATACATAATTACCGGTGTGATAAAACAACGAATAACAGGAAGCCAAGAGAGAGGTAGAAGAACATCAACAACTGCAGATTCTGATTTTTTGTCAGTCTTTTTCATTAAATGGACAAATTCGTCAAAAGCTAAAGGAGCAACTAGCATAAAATAGACAAATGAAACAATCAAAAGTCTGAAAACTTTATGCTTTGAGATGGACGAGACGTCTTCCGATGTAACTATAGATGCCATGGGAGTAGGATCTGCCAGAAATAGACCACGATTGCGTGTGTATTGTGGCCGAGTTGGTAGCGCACAAGGCTGCGTTATTGGTAGATTGTAAAACTCTTGCAGACAGTGCGGATGTTGTGCTTGGTTCGAATCAGCTAACATTAAAGGTTGCAGATGTTGATTGTCTGGTTCTGTTGGAATAGGTTCATGTTGGTGAACATTTAGATTATTCACATAAGCTGTGTTTTGAACCATTACAGTAACTCTGTTTTCTGGGTTGTTACTTACTGCTTGATGGTTTAGGACTTTGACTCCACATTTCACAAAAACAATGGTCAACACAGAGGTAATGATGGCACCACTTGCTGGTATTATAATGCTTACAACAAGCAAGTTTTTCAGTTGATCCCTAGAGCTTGTCGATCTGCAATGGTTGACATCAATGTTAGCCAAAGCAAGAGGTAAGATAATGATAAGCCCGAGAATCCATGGAATACTGCTGGCAACCATGGAGCAGACGACCTGGTATAGTTTACTTAGGCAGGAGATCCTGTGATGTAGAATTATTTCTAACCCTAACACAATTAACCCAATGCCGTACACGAATGTATTGAGATAGAATCGGTAAACTCCGGCAGTTATAAATAAGTGGCAATGGTTTTCAAAAAAGTCATCTTCAAACAAATATTTCGTATAGACAACCATGGAAAACAATGCCAAGAAAACATCTCCAATAGCCAATGAAAAAACTGTCAGAGATTTTGGCTTGTACATTAAGTCACATTTACGGACATTCTTGAATATGAGCAAACCGTTTGCCATCAGGATGAGGATGATGAAGCTGATGTACACCATTTTTTGCTCCTCATCATCGTATTCCATTTTGTGCTCAAATGTCTTGATGTAAATTCAATTCAATTTCTTGACGTGAATAAAAGGCGTCTAATAAACTGTAAAGAAAGTGCTTTCATAATCATTTTTAAAGTTATATGAAATGAAAATTCGATTCGGTTAACTTTATTTTAAACAATCATGGCTTCTCATTTTTAGTGTTTTTTAACACCATATTCGCAGCCAAATTACCGTGTCATTATATGGTGGCAGTAATAAGTTTTGTACATAATCTTTCTTTTTTGTGTTTTGCACTTAAGAAAGTTATAAAAATGTTGAGCATGAAAAGACTCATATATCATCAAAGTATTTATAATAATATATATAAGTGAACATTTGTTTGTTTGTACAACAAAGGCTTTTACATAGATTTTTAACTAATTGTAAAAAGTGTTGGACTGCGATAAAGCTTTAAAATAGATTAATAAGAAAAAATTTACATAGATTGATGGATTTTGAGCAAACTTGGTATATGCATCCATCATTATCCATAAAGAACTCTTAATGGGTTATGAACTTTTTATAACATTTTGTTTCGGGCCGGGGGCTAAAAATGTCGTTCTTTCTTATATGAGATGTATAAAAATAATTAGAAACAAATACCCTCCTAACTGAATGGATGGATTTTGACCAAACTTATTACACATATACTTGATTATCCATACTAAAGAAACGAAGGGTACTGACCTCATAGTATCCATCCCTCTGTGGCCTGGGGGCCCTGTTTCATTTTTTCTAATATAAGCTTATAAATATTAAAAAGCTTAGCTTTTTTCTAATATAAGCTTATAAATATTAAAAAGCTTAGTACTCCATCCACGGATGGATATTGACCAAACTTAGTACACATATACTTGATTATCCCTATTCAAATTTCGAAGGGAACTGAACTCATAATATTTATTCTACTTGGGCCGGGTGCCCCATTTATTTTTACTTATTTAAGTTGTATAATAATCTGTAGGCTTAAACAACTCATTAGGTTCTATGTAAATTTATGGATCTAAGCATAGCTTTGTTCATTGCGCTTCTTAGCCTGTAATGAAATATTGGTTGATTTAAAACTAATATTATATCCCATTCTAGAATTTTCAAGAAAGTTCTACAGCGATAATTTAAAAAAAAAAACTATATCGATGGCATTTTTAAACCGATTTTAATGGGATATTTTTTTTTTAAAAATTACTCTTTAATTTATCTTTTTTTATTTAAAAAGTTAACGTAACTTTTGAAATGAAAATATTTAGGTAACTAGGTCACTAGTCTCTGACGATCTTTTATAAGGGTCTCTAAATTGTATGGTATAATTGTGACGATAATTGGAGAGGGCAGCTAAAAATAATCGGTCTCCATTGTGTGACGTCATTAATGCATGAAACCCTGTTCAGATGGTTTAAAAGCGACACTATATGGAAGTCTCTTTAGAATGAATTTTGAATTACTTCAGATAATTTTTTCAAGTGATGGATAGAAACAAAAAAATTTTTTCTTAGACAATGCATGTCGAGGCAACATTTAATTATTTAATCTTAGCACTATAATGGCTATGATTTCTTTATAAAAAAAAAAGAAAAAGTTTAAAACAGTGAACATTTAACACTGACCTCCCTGGGGGTTGTGCTCAGAACTCCAGTGTTCAATTTAAGTGGTTTACAATAAACCTTACATTTAATTTTTTTCAAGGAATACCCCAGCAGGTAGTGGTCCTTTTCCTGTCTCAGTGGGGCTAAAACTGTTGTCTCAAATATTATTTCTTAATGCACGACTCTGTTCTTCCACACACACAGCGTCAAGTCGGCAATCATATTGAAACAGGTAAAAAAATTCCCTTTCAACATAGTTTGTGTTCAGGCACAACTTTCGCATAATTCAAATTGAGGTCATTATTTCTAAGCTGGCTACCACCTGGTCGTTTCGTAAGTCTTAACATGGCTGACAGTGTGTGAGTTATAAAAAGAAAAAAAAAAAGGGAAACATAATTAAAACTTATGTTCGTTGCACATACATCGGGACGAGTTAAAAACTACAACAACATTTTATCAGATAACTTAGTGATTTGTCCGGAATAAAATGTTTTATAATATGAGCACTTGTGAAAATTTTAGGCAGGAACTTAATGCTAGAAGCTATCCAAAACAAAAATAATTGGATATGTTTTCCTGAATTTTCTTCTCACATATTTGCCCATAATTATCATAAAATGGGATACTTTTACCTAGAATGAGACTCCCTGTTAGATTGGTGTCACCAAACTATGAGATAAACCGTGTGAATCGAACGTTTTCTTCTTTCGTTTTTTGTTTTGAGGGGGGTGGGACGGGAGGGTAAATGTTGTTACGGGAAAAGCCCAATCGCCTTTTAAATTTCGAAAGCTTTATTTTAATTACCATTTTAGTGTTGTAAGTTGTAAATTCATTGAGATGCGTTGTTTAGACGACCTACCTACCAAGTCAAATAATAATTATTTGTGCTTCATATTTAATACTCCTTATATATAAGGTCTAAAGATATAAACTTTATATTAATTTCGCTTTTGTTTTCGGGTTTCTGGAGTGCTGGTAAAATCTTCGGGCGGTTAATTGACTCATTTTCCGTCAACCCATCTAGGTGAACATTTGCACATAGACCAGTTGCCAATTCAAATATTTTTATTTCAATTTTTTCAACCACACTTCCCAGCCACAACCCCCAACAATCTGTTTTTCAAAGGAAATATAAATTAAAATGACCGATAACTGCACCAAATGAGATTCTTTAAAAAAATATTGCAGCTGCGTTTGGTACGTAATATTTTCTATTGTTTTTTCTAAAATCGTTGGTGAAATAAATCTGTGGTGTCAAAGCGGGTGTGTCGCTATTAATATAGTTCAAGGGCGTGACAACAATGTGGAGGGTGTGAGCCTTGAAAGCCAGAGCACTCACTAACTGGGCTTCTTATAAAGTGGATTACTTGCTTTGTCAAATTTTAAACGCAACATCCATCGGTCGATTTTAAATTTTATACGCGATTTATACAAAAATTTTTTTTTGTAGCGGTTGTTTAATTAAGTAGCAAATTCTTGGAAAAAATACTACTTATTTATATAAAATTTAAAAAAATGTCTATAAAATGAAAGCTCGGTTCATTTGTCTGCACATCAAACGAGCCGCAGGCCGTGGTAAGCTGTGATCTCCTGTGGTCAGATGTGATCTCCTGTGGTCAGATGTGATCTCCTGTGGTCAGCTGTGATCTCCTGTGGTCAGCTGTGATATCCTGTGGTCAGCAGTGTTCAGCTAATTATAGATCCACTAGGGAAGGGAATATTTTTTTTTCAGAGACAAATGGTCGCTGCACGACATCAGGGGCTGATACGAAAATCTGTTTTCAAATGGTTTTCTTTGACATTCCTAATGATAGATTACAGCTTCCGCTTCTGATCTGGGGCGAAAAACCCGACTTGCTGAGTGAAACAGATAATAAAAAAAAAGTATTGTAGAAAATAAACAAACAGATTAACACTGTTTCAAACTGATAACCGTTTGGAGAAAATAGGACCAGCCCATGTTAACCTTCCTAGTTGGAAGTCATGCATACCGTTGTTAGACAGTGCTATATAATTTATGTTACGACCAAAACCCGATAACGGAAAAAGAGCAACAGCGCATAGGGAGAAAAGGCCGATATCGTTGTAAATTGACCGGCCCATCCTGTCTTGGTTTTTCGATTTGGCTGGCCAAAGTAGCCTATTCCAGGATCATTTAAACTACATCTAGAATCTACCACCAATCTTGGCCCCCTTGGTATTTTCTCCGATATTCATCCCCTTCCCCGCACGGCCCCAAGTTGCTCTTAGCCAGATCATAGAGGATCGCTGATATTACTAAACATTATTTGAGCCCTAAACGAAAAAAAAATGGCGTAGAAGAAAACATAGAATTTGAAGTGTCAGCGTTTAAAAAATACAAGATGATAACTTCTAATGAAATATGAAACTTGGCAGTTAAAACTTTCGACAAACCTGACGAAGATTCTTAAAAGTAACCATTACTGCTACGTTCCTTCACTGAGTGTTTAAGGACATCTGTGCCTTTTCGCACCGGATACAGCTTTGACAAGTCATGACGGAGCAAGATATACGAGACAAATGACGAAATTGGGAAATTTTATTGGTTACGGTATACAAGAAACCATATTTTTTTAATCATAGGAATGAGTGGTTCTAACACGAAAGACAAATTCACTACCAGTTAATTCAGACTTTCCCTTCTGTTGATATTGTACTTTCCTAAACCATGCAACTAGTTCTTTTTTTCTCTATCGGAATTGTTCTTCCACCATTTTTAAAAGGATAAAACCTAGTCAAACTTAAAGTTCACTCATATATGAGCGAGAATATATTATTCCTCCCTGAAAAGACACGTTTTTAACAGCTGATCAACACAAGATGCAATTCAAGTAATAAATATGGCGATTAAGTTGAGCGCATAGCTGAGAATAACGACTGAAAAATAGTTAATCACTATGAGATAGACAATTGAAAAGACCAGCTCTTGATGAGTTGGACGAGATTTCCACTGACGTCATCACAGGTGCAAGGTTCAAAGTGTCTCACAATTTGGCTTTCTGCCGGTACGGTTAGACGCGAATCTCACTCTGTGAAGTTTCATATTTGCTCTTGGATTGTGCGACTTTATCAAAATATGTTTGTATTTTGTCCACAAAAACAATTTCATTCAACTTCCTTTCCATGTGTTTGCAATGTGTAAACTTCCCTGGTGCGTGTGTTGTCACACTATTTTACACAGTTACTTACGCTTTTCTATTACCTAAATTAGGTTTAAACAATAATTTAACTGTACGAAATGTCTACTTTCTCCAGAAGTAACAGTAAAGAAAGGCTTTA